CCACACAAAGCCAAGCCATGTGGTTCCCATAACAATTTCCAAGCACATGTTTGCAAACTCAAATGGGGGAAAGGGAACCCACATTTGTTGAGGCCCTGCCAACATGCCAGGCATGGAGTTGCCATTTCAATGTATTCGTTCATTGAAACTCAGCATTCCAGTGAGGAAGATGGAGTATTTTATTATAGTATTCTTTCTTCATAGTTGAAGCAACTAAGGTTCAGAGAGGGATAAAGTAACTTAAGTTTATAAGCCCAGTTAACAGCAGAGTCAAATATGAATCAAGATTTGTCTAACTCCACAGCTAGTACAGCACGCTATCTTTAAACACACACACACACACACACACACTCTAGATATGTTCTCCATTGTAACTAATTAGGTAAGGCTCCTTATTCAAAACTGAAGGTATTTATAGAAGTGAGCCAAGATTCCTCCATGTTGCCTCCTAACAAAGGCTTTAAGTCATTCAACAGACATTGTTCAGTGTCTTCAGTGTGTCAAGTGCTGATTCACAAAGGTGAAAAGACACAGGTCTTGGCCAGAAGGAGTGCAAAGTCCATTAGGGAGATGTGAGAGAAACCTTAAGACAATATATAGTGCTCAATAGATGTGAGCTACAATGGAAGTAGGTCCCAAATCCAAGCAACCAATGAGCAGGAAACTTAGGTCTACCTGGGGCAGGCAAGGAAGGCTTCTTGGAAGAGGCAGCAAGTGAGCTGGGGCTTAAAGAATGACTGGGGTGGAGAGGGATTGGTATTTTGGGGGAGATTGGATGAGAGACAGGGTAAGGCATGGGGACTGGCGCCAGAGCACTGTAGGCTCTAGGGATTTTTTTTATGTTATCTTTTGGTGACTGAGAAGGGCTTAAAGATTTGGGGCCTTGCACATGCTAAGCAAGTGCTCTATTACTGAGTTATACCCCCAGCTCTAAAGAATTTTACAGGGGATCTCATTTGCATGTTAGAAAGAATGAGCAGAAGGAAGGAAAGCTCAGACTAGGGGGACCACCAGGAAGTATTGCAATAGTACAAGCAAGAGCTGTTGTCTGTCCTAGGAGTATAAGGCATCTGGAGAAGATGAAGGATGGGGAGGGATGGAGGAGGGTGTAGCCTGTTCTGAGCTAGAGCAGAGCAACAGTCTTCTGACCCATAGAAAAATATGAAAGCTATGGATTCTCCCTCAGAATAAAGCACGTGTGCATAGGCACATGATGTTTTGCACATAATTATAGGGGACTTATGTTCCCCAAAGCCTCAGGTTAAGAACTCAGTTCCTTGGAATTCTAAGAAGCAAAATGACATAGTAGTTAAGTTTGTGGATCCTGAAGTCAGACTCCCTGGTTTATATTATAATCTCAGTGTTTTAGTCAGCTTTTTTTTTTTTTTTTGCTGCTTTGACTAAATGACCCGACCAGCACAACTGTAGAGGAGGAAGAGTTTATTTGAGGGCTTATGGTTTCATAGGTCTTAATCCATAGAAGGCTGGCTCCATTCCTCAGGGCTCAAGGTGAACCTGAACATCATGGCAGAAGGGTGTGGTAGGGGGAAGCAGCTCCAGTGGGGATCAGAAAGCAGAGAGAGGTCTCTACTTGCCAGATATAAATATATACCCCCCAAAGCCACGCCCCCAATTCCCACCTCCTCCAGCCACACCCTACCACTTTAGCTACCACTCAAACACTCCCAGAAGTTAATCACTGTTTGCATTAAGACTCTCACAGACCAATAATTTCTCTTCTAAACCTTCTTGCATTGTCTCACATGTGAGCTTTTGGGGGACACGATATCTAAACCATAACACCCAGCTCTACCATCAATTAGCTATGTGAGCCTGGGCAGGACCTTGACCCTGGAACAGTATCTGGCACCCAGAAAGTGCTCAGGAAGTACTGGCTATTATTGTTATGGGTTTAATCACAGTGCTATTAGGACCCCTCCTCGCTTACTCACTCTTGCATCCCACTTCACAGCTGGAGATCTGATGGTGTCTCTGCGCCCATTTTTCTTGGTTCTCTGAACTCACTCCTTCCTTTTAGGTCTGAGTTTCCATTATCCTTAAACCTATTTATTAAAGAGTGAAGCCATGCTGGGCATGGTGGTGCACGCTTTTAATCCCAGCAGCTTGGAAGGCTGAGGAGGATCATGAGTTCAAAGCCAACCTCAGAAACTTAGTGAGACCCTAAGCAACTCAGCAAGACCCTGCCTCTAAATAAAAAATAAAAAGGCTCAGTGGTTAAGCACCCCTGGGTTAAATTCCCAGTACCAAAA